TTTCAGTGAATAACAGAAAAAAGAATAGCATGTGAATTAATGGATGTCGAGTTGTAAATTTCCGGTAGCTCGCTCTATTTTCCTTCTTTGCTGATTGGTGCTGTTTCTCCCTATTTGCATTGTTTGTTCTTTCTGCCGAGTCAGCAGAATGCCTTTTTGACCTTCTGCTGGTAATTCACTTATCAAGATGATTAAAGTGAGCCTCCGCCACCCAACCCGCAATCAGATGACAGCTGTTTTCTTTGTGAGCATGACTTTACCTTTGTCGCGGTTAATACGGAAACACGAATGTGCTTCCGAGGCTGTTAATAAGTAGAAGATAGTCTTTGGGTGTTGTAAGAGTTGAAGAGGTTAACTGCTGGAACTTTTGGGTTCATTGGGGCAGAACTGTGGGATTTCAGCAGACCTTAAAACATGTCAAGCAGAGTTGCAGTAAACTCATTTCTCTTTGAAAATCCAATATTTGAACGAGGATTTGCTTTCTTCTACTTTAGTCGAGAATGTGTTACACAGGTGGATGTTTTCCCCATTAGGAGAATGCCTGAGATAGCTCAAGAATTATATCAGGGAAACGCCTGACTGGCATACCTGAACGTCATTAATGTTATTGAGATCATAGTTGAACTGTGATGCTTCCAGGCCATTTGAAAAAAAAAAGATGCTTTTTTTTTTTTTTCTTTTCACTAAACATTTTCCAGGTACCTTTACGTGTGTGGCTCGCTTTTGTCCAAACACCCCAACGAGCAAGAGTTTTGTCAAGTACTGTACACTTTAAACCCTGATTTCTTTGTCTTGTTAAAATCAAGATATTTGCGAGGGTGGCTTTGCAAGTACGGTTTTCATGATGCCAGGGTAGTGCTAGCGGTGGCTGCGCCAAATCAAAAGTGCTACAGAAAAGGGATCCATGGTTTGAAACATTTCTTTCAAAGACATCAACAAATGTCGGCTGAGCAGATGTTGCCATGGCAACCACCATCCACCGCGCTCCCGCCTCATCTTCTCTCCCCACCCCCTCTCGCTCTGCTCCAGACGGCATATGGGACCGAGGTCGGATATGGTAGGGGGGAGGGGCATGACTGAGTGACGGCCCCCCATCATGCTTTGCGGTCGGAAGCAGGAAGAAGCTTGAATGAGATGTAAAGATGTTGGATGGAATAATGGTGCAGGAGGAGACAGGATGTCCTCCACGTGCCATCCAAGGTGCGCCCCCTCTCAGGGTGAGTCTTCCCTCTTGTGACTTCCACCATCACATCGGGCTGATGGAGCTGGTGCACTTGGCGGGCGCGAGGATTGAAAGAGACGATGATGATGATTCACAATTCCCAACTCCAAAAAATGCTTCTCCCGAGAGTATTGTGGATGCTGGGCATGTGGTCCGAATGAACAAGCTGGTCATGGCGCATCAAGATTTCAGAATACTCATCATTTTACACTCTCCTTTCTCTCTGAAAATGGAACTGATATCATTAATTGTGTGTAAATGAATATTATTCTTGATTAAATTTGATTAGTTTGTTCACCGGTTGACTGGTTGTACCGAAGGTCAAACTCGTTAGCGTGCATGTAGTCATTGTGTCTGTGTGAGCTGCAAACACTCTTGACAGGCTGACATAAATATTGCAGTTCAGTCAAAAATTGACTCGTTAAACCTCCTACACAAATCTAATGTGTCATGCAAATGAGGACAAGCCCCACCTACTGCAAGTGACCAAGCCAGTAGAAAATGTTTGCTCAAAGGGCTGCTCTTAGTTCATTCACTCAGTAAACACAACAGACTTTGTGTTGCGGTTCGACTTCTCCAGGTGAGTACAAGTGCGAAGGGGCAATTTCATTGACTTTCGGAGTAAGCGTGTTTCAATGTTACTAATGGTTTATAAATGTGTTATTAACATGGTATAAAGCATTGTTAGAAAGAAACAGTATGGGGTACCTCCTGCATGCTAAAATAAATAAGCCTTGGTTCAGCTTTACTGCTTTGACAGTTTGCTAGATAAAGTATCAGTTCATTATGAAAAAAAACCACGATTTGTTTCGCACGTTGCAACGAGCCTTCCGTTTGCCATCCATAAACAGTAAGATTTGATGAAAATCCTTTCAGGTACGCAAGGCGTATCCACTTGCCAAAACACATTGCCCAGAACTGTTGTACATTGTCCCGTACAATTGTTGATTAATTATTTACAGACAGTTTGACAGTGTAGTTATTCAAACAATTGATTGCAAAATGTTTGCAGGGGAAACATATCCGAAATTGCTACCTCATTTATACATGACAATAAGTTCTGCCCCCAAAGTTGTGAGCCCCACTCGGGTCCTTCACATCACATGATGACGAGCACGACTAATTGCTTTGAGGGGAACAGAGTTCGGCCATTGTTTTCATCCTTGACGTGGTGATCAATCTTACCGCTGCTTCCAAAATATTATCCATCCAAATCACAGAGCGAAATAGTCACTGAACTTTTTCCTATCACGTCTTGAGATCTACAGTCAACCTGTAAAAAAACAAATCAAAAGGCTTTCACGCGATCGTCACGTCACATCTCTGCCGCCTCAGCATTCATGAGTACTCAGAGCAACTGAGGAACGGACATGCTAGGAGTTTATTACTGGCTACTTCCGTGCCTTAACAGTCCTTAAGAGCTATACAACACGTTGCGTAGCACTCTTGTGATCGTTAAGATAAAGGATGACAATTGCTGCTCCTGAAAGCAACAAACTTTTAAATGCAGCCCACATTTGGGATGTCGTTACATAGGGCAACATTTAGGGAATTATCAAGATTCACATCAACTTTCTGAAGTGCAATTTTTTATTTGATTTCTTTTCAGGGATTCGTCCCAACTAATCAAACTTTGTTAATTGGGCAACGTTTAAAAAGAGAAGCCAAGTTCCGGCAAATAACCCAATAAGTAACAACAGGTTACAAAGACTGCAAGTTTAGAATAGAATGAAAAAGACATTTTGGTGTTACTCAGGGTCACTCATGTCCGAAGATATGATATGACATAATATACTGCATCCATAAATTTTATTCCAATCTGGGCCGACAACAAAGTGTGACCTTTGTACTACTTGACTCGGCCTGCTTGTTTTCGCTTTCATGATGGACAAATAGCAAAAAGATTGATTGCATGGTTGATGTTGGTCGTGCTTAATGCGGTCGCATTCGATTTAATCTCTAACACCACCTTTAAAAATGCAATGCCCCTTATGTCACTAAACACACTGACACAAAAAAATGAAGGCAGTGCATTGTCGAACCCTTTTCTTCTTTGGAAAATGATGAATTATACATTAAATGACTGCTATATGTTCACTGAACACCTAAATACTCTATGTTTTGTCAAATATTTAATGCTTTAATCCTAATTTGTGATTCGGGCCAAATTTGACCGTTTGGGATTTAAGGGTAGCATTTGAGTAGCAGAATTTATAAGGGGCCAAATTAGACCC